AAGTTACTGAGTTTTTGGTAATTTGTTGCAGCAGCCACAGGAAATGAATACAATACAGTGAATGATGATGACTAACTCTAATGCCAGGTAAATCAGCACGCAGTGCTATGAAGATGAAAGGCCAAGGAAGGAGATAGCAATAAAGAATATTAAGTTGCTTGGGATAGTCAAGGGTCCTGACATCAGGTCAAAGGCCCTACGGCAACCACATGCTTGAATAGTTAGAACAGCAGAAAAGTGCACTTTTGTGATTTTAACAAAAGTGACTGGCGAGAGAAGAAATAAAGGCAAAGAAATAGCCAGGGGCTGGATCCCATAAGACAATGTAAGAACTTTGGAGTTGGAAAGCAAGGGAATGTCCCACTTCAACCCACATGTTCAGCGTCTCTGCAGGGTGATGGAGGCAGGGGGACATGCTTTAGGAGGCAATTGCTCTAAACACCCAGCTAGACCAGGCAGAGAGGAGGGAGAGAGCAGGAGACAAATCAGGCGTGCCTGCAAGTCTGGCCTTCTGGCCTGAATTACTGGATGATGGTGGTGTCACTTACTAAGACCAGAAACACCCAGGGAGAGGCTGATCCAATCACAAATTAAGAGCTTGGATGTGTTGAGTGTGCAGTCCCCATTTGCCATCCAAGTGAAGATGCCAAACAGACATTTAGGTCTTTGTGTTTACAGTTCAAAGAGAGGGCAGAGGAGTCACCAAGCCACATGTCTGGCTGAGATCACCCAGAGTGGGCAAGCAGGGGGCTGACTGGGTCTGACAGCAGAGATCCTGTGATCTCAGCTCACTTTACATCCCTAGGCTAGGGCTGCTCTAGCTCTGGCCCCTGCCCTCAGCCATAGTCTTGGGTTTATCCTGTGGCAGCATCCCCAAGGAGCCTCTTGTTGTGCCACCAGCTTGTGTTTACCCAGGCACCAATTTGGCAAGTTTGGACCAATCTTAATCACTGATCTGGAGTAAGTGTGTCATTCACCATCGGGCTCTCAGCCCTTCATCCTGAAAACTTTCATCATGAACCCCATCAGTAAAATATCTTTGAACAAACACCAAATATATATTTGCCACTTGGATGGCAAATCAAATAGGCACCTCAAACTTAATACATCCAAGACAGAGCTCTTAATTTGCACCCAGATTAAGATTTTGTCAGTTTGGTGCCCGTGGCTCAAGTGGCTAAGGCGCCAGCCACATACACCTAAGGTGGCAGGTTCAAATCCAGCCCAGGCC